ACTGAAAGTATTTTTTTGAATGAAACGCCTTCCCTCCCCAAAGTAGCCTTTTTGTGTCAAACAGAATCAACTACCGTAAGTCAGGTTAGTTTACTGTACTGTTAAAATGTCTTAAATATTGAGGCTTTACTTTGAAATGAAGGCTTTTATACTGAATTCCTTTGAGATATATTGGAGAGGATTTTAGTTCGATTATTCTGAATACTTTATTTTCACTGTCGTCTCACCTATGCCCTTTGAAGATGCAGAAAAATAGGAAAAGTAGTACTATATTTGCTTATTAGAAAAGACAGAAAAAATGTAGTACTGTATTTTTTATATTAAAAGATACAGAAACAGTTATGCTGTATTTGCGCTTTATTAGAGGAAATTAGTAATTTAAAAATATTTGCTCTTGGGATATACAGAAAACATAGTACCGTATTTGCACTTATTAAAAAAATAGAGAAAAAAGTAGCACCATATTTGCTTATTAGAAAAACACAGGAAAAGTAGTACCATATTTGCTCTTTTAGAAGACACAGAAAAAGTAATACCATATTTGCTTATTAGAAAAATACAGGAAAAGTAGTACCATATTTGCGCTTTTAGAAGACACAGAAAAAGTAATACCATATTTGCTTTTTAGAAAAAGTAGTACCATATTTGCTTATTTATAAGATACAGAAAAAGTAGTACCATATTTGCTTATTAGAAAAATACAGAAAAAGTAATACAATATTTGCTTTTTAGAAAAAGTAGTACCATATTTGCTTATTTATAAGATACAGAAAAAGTAGTACCATATTTGCTCTTTTAGAAGACACAGAAAAAGTAGTACCATATTTGCTTATTTAGAAGATACAGAAAAAGTAGTACCATATTTGCTCTTTTAGAAGACACAGAAAAAGTAGTACCATATTTGCTTATTGGAAAAATACAGAAAAAGTAGTACCATATTTGCTTATTTAGAAGACACAGAACAAGTAATACCATATTTGCTTATTAGAAAAAGTAGTACCATTTTTGCTCTATAACATGTATAACATTTTGACCATTCACACAACTCTGTCATTTACTTAGCACTATCAGTAATAACATATTAAATATAATACAATAATTTTCTCATTTCAGTTTTGTTTAATCTGTGTATTTCTTTTATCTCCTCAGACACTGCACTGCAGCAGAAATGTTTGACTACTGACATTAAATTCATGGGGTGTATTGGAAATGTTATAATCCAAGGTCAAAAACAAGACTTCCGTCAAGCTGCTGAACTGGTTGATGTCAGACCAAGTTCGTGTCCTGTTAAATAAGAACATGAAAACTTAGCCTATCACTTGACTTCTCTGGCTATCACATGACTTGGTCACATGACCTAAAAACTTCCACTCTTCACAGAATTCATTCAGATTTTTTTTAAATCCAGAAATGATATTTTACCTGTTTGTCCAATTAAAAAATAGTTGAATTAAAATTCTAAATACTTCCTAAATCAATTTTTTTTAGTTCCAAAGCTTTCAAAAGTAATGTTGTGTTACATGTATATTTCACTGTTGTCATGTGATATTTCACTGTTGTCATGTGATATTTCACTGTTGACATGTGATATTTCACTGTTGTCATGTGATATTTCACTGTTGTCATGTGATATTTCACTGTTGTCATGTGATATTTCGCTGTTGTCATGTGATATTTCGCTGTTGTCATGTGATATTTCACTGTTGACATGTAATATTTCACTTTTGTCATGTGATATTTCACTGTTGACATGTGATATTTCACTGTTGACATGTGATATTTCACTGTTGACATGTGATATTTCACTGTTGTCATGTTATATTTCACTGTTGTCATGTGATATTTCACTGTTGACATGTGATATTTCACTGTTGTCATGTGATAGGCTATGAAACACTGTTAGGATGACAAAGTCAAATGTACTCAGGAAACATTAACAGTTGTAATAGATACATGGTTAACAAGACTTTTAGAGACCTTCCTTTTACTTTTACTAGTATCAATTCTAACAAATTTTGAATTTAACTTCTGTACAGTTTAATTTCAAAACATTTAAAATGTTGTTTCTTTTAAATGACAATGATTTTACTTCAGATCTGTCATTGAGACTAACCCCTCCACCACCACCCTCACAATTTTGTGCACAAACAAAATTAAATGATCG